GCCCACCAGTCTATGTCCTACTGTAGCCCGTGCTGGCTAAGAGACAAAGGCTATAAGAACATGGCAGTCATACAGTTAAGTTTTACCTGGTATGGTCTTCCTGCTTCCAGGAATGTGAAGGCTAGAGATTTCCTGGGCCAGAGATTGTTTCCTGATGTTTAATAATTTGTGATTAAATTTTTTCATTGACTTATTTACCCACCTGGACTTCAGGTATTCATAGCATCCTGTGGCAATGAGTTCCACAGCTGAAGTGGTGTGGAGAAGAAATATTTCTTTTTGTTTATTTTAATTCTGACATCTGGTAATCTTGTGTGCTAGTCAACAGTTTGCTGCTCCTGAGTTGTTCTGTGAACGAGCATTCACAATCTTGTTCTCTGTGACAGAAGTGATTTTACAGAGCTCTGTGACATTCCCTCCCCATTGTCTCTCTTTCCAGACTGAGGAGCCCTTTGAAGTCCTGGGAAATATTTGAAGGCAGTTTTGAAATGCTTTGGTGAAGGACTCTCTTCCCCTGAGAAATGCTGAGCATTTGAAAATCTCACTGACACCTCATGTACTGGACTGGTTCAGCTCTGGCAGAGTTGAGGAAAGGTTCTTTGTAAGTGGTTGTGGAAAACCAGAATCTTCCATACTGGCCTGGACTCTGCTGGAAACCTCCTTGATAGGACTCATAATGCAAAGTATTCTTACTTAGACCCCCACAGTGGCTTCATTGTGTCTGGACCACATGCAGGAGTGTGGAGCACCATGCTGGAAGGGCTTCAGCCTACCAGCTAAATAGGGCTGAGCTGTTGAGACACCTTCTGTTAGTGATCCTGCATCCCACTGCAACTTAAATTTCACCTGAACAGCGTGGTGACACAGCCACTGTTCATCTGCTGTGGTTGCTACAGCAGAGCGAGGCCACCACGTTCCACTCAAGATGATGTTACGTAGTACTGGGGCAGGAAGGGGCTGCCTGGCTTCGGCTTCTGCTCCAGGGTACCTTGTCAGCAGCCTTTCTGAAGAGGGAAGGAAGCATACCTCTCTCTGGAGTGGGCAGGTTGAAAGCAGGCAGTAATATTTGATTATTTGCTGCAGCACATGGATATAAAGAGGTTGGGATTAAGAGGCAATGTATTTCAAAAGAAATTAGCTAGCAAGACATGCACATTTAATGTTTGTGGTTCGGAGATTAACACATCAGGCTGGAACTTGGGATATCTGGGTTAAATCCCAGCTCTGTCAAAGACTTCTCAGAACATGCTGGGCAGGTCATGTAAGGTAATACTTTCAGAAAGGACTCAGGATTTGGGAGCTTAAATCCAATTGACTTTCAGTAACTTTCTAAGTGTTTAAGGACAGGATTCACAAAAAACAGTGAGGCATTCTGATGCTCAGCATTGCAGCATCAGCTCACATGTGCCACAGGACTTGGGCAGAGCAGTGTGCTTTGGGAAGGCACTTCAGCGTGTGAGGAGAGCTATAGGTGACAACTGGGAACTCCTGGAAAGCATGAGTTTGTGCAGGGCCTGTGGTGACTGAGCACCTCATACAATGGTGCTCTGGGCTTAATGATGGTCTCTAGGTGCAGCCTCAGCACAAATACATACTAATAAGTGTCTAAGTAGATAGATCCTGTAAGAGCTCTTATATCTGCTCCCTGAGGTCTGAATACTAATACCAACAATCATGAAAAGATTTTGCATATTTAAAATTAAATGAGCTTCGTTCTTTAGGATTAAACAGTCAAGGCTGCGTTTCCAGCCAGTGAAGTACAGCGACACATTCATTTGCTGGTTGAGCACATGCCTGAGGGGGAGCTGGCTGTGCAGAAAGGTAGTGCGGAAAAACACTGCGTGCAGGGACACCCCTCACCTGTACAGCTGTAAACTTGCAGCTGGCTATCCTGCTCCTTTGAAAGAGCAACCCTAAAGTTCCTTTTCCCTCTTTTAAACCTTTATTAAACCTGTCTGGAAACTGTCCTTGTTTCATCTCCTTGCCCGGAGTTGGTAATAGCTGGTTTGATAAGGCCCTTTGAGACCAGCTGTGGCCTGGAAGAGAGTTCCTTAAGTACTGTGTCAGGTGGGCTCCGAGACTGTCCCAGACCCTTGCTCGCTAATTATCTGTCCTGGAAATGATGGTTAGAGTTGTTGTTCAGGGTGCCTATTGGCAGGGCGCTTGTGAGCAGTAAGAGCCTGCTCCCTGCCTGTGTGAACTGGGCAAAGGCACCTTCCCTTGGGAAGGACCCTGCTCTCCAGCAGGCACTGTGGCAGCCTGGCTCACCTCTTCTCTGCTTCCATGCCTTACAGCCTCTTTTTGGTTTTTTGTTTTTGCCTGTCTGGGACACGCAGCCTGCATCAGAGGCGTTATCTGCCTTCTGCGAGCTGTGAAAGGACAATTTCATAATGAATGAGGGTGATTGGCTAAGTGGGGGGTCCTGGAGCCCAGCCGTAATTGTGCTGCTGCTTTATCTCAGCCTCACACCTGCTCCTGTAATGGCCTGGCTGTGATCTGCTCCCTCCCTCGTGTGCACACCCCACCCTTCTGCTGGGAGCGGGGCCATCCCTTCTCTGGCCCTGTTGCAGTCCCTCACCTCGCTGCCCTGCCCTGGCCCGCAGCCTGGGGCTCTACACAAATTCCCCCTTGAATTGCAGCAGGGCCGCTGGCTGGCTCTGAGGGGCTTTCACGTCCTAAATAACAAGTTTTTAAGTGAAATCCTTCTGCCCAAAAGAACTGCTAGAGACAGCTTTCTTTAAATTGTATTTATTTAGAAAACATAGTCACACAAGAATATTGTATATATTATTCCTGCCAGAGGGAATATGTGCAGCTTTTTATTTTGCCCCGCATGCATGCAGTACTGGTGAAAATGGTTGGATTGACCATGTAGGCAATTAAAAGCTTTTGAAATCCCGAGCAGATGGAATTTTATCAAATTTATGTGTGCTGTTACTAGTAGATTCAGGCCAGTGAACTCCGAGTTCTATGCTTTAACCTTTGGAGAATGTTACCACTCTTGTGACAGAAAGTAATACTGGGTGCTACTTTGTAACATGAGGATGTGGGGTAGTGAGAGAGGTGAAGAAAGCCCTGTCGTGACTTCGTGTGTCAAATTCTGTGTATTTTTTCCTTCCTTACTGGATCTTGTAACCCAACATGCTCCTGGCCACCACTTAACAGATCCTCTTTTCAGCTGACAGACAAACATCACGTAAAGGGAAAAGTCCCTGTGTCTTGAACACCTCCCTTGAGCCATCTCTCATCCTGTAGGTTCTTCTTTCTTTTTACTAATCTGAAACGAGAATCTCAAAATCCAAAAGTGAGAGAAAAAAGAAAGGGGAGGAGGGGAGAGAGAAACCCCTTTTTTCTCTTGAGACACAATTGTCAATAGGTTTGAGTTATGGACCTGCTGTAATTAAAACCCACATAACTAGTTGTTTTTAAATGCAGTTGTTTTACTTAATTGATTTTGCTGCCAGGACAAAATGGAATTAATTAAATAAATAAAATCACCTTCCTAGTGAATTACTGGAGGCAGCTGAGTCTGTGTTGGGATCTAATTGCTGCAAATGCTCCAGTTTGCTGCTAGCAACAGTTTTCTGTGGAAGGGGCTGGAAGATAAGTGGTAGGGTGGTGTGGGAGGGGGCGCATTCCCTGGCAGCTGCAGGAGGGAACAGGCTGCTCCTGTATAGTATTTTTCTTCCTTGTCAGCAAAAAGAATATTTGCTTAACGCTTTGCATGAAGACTTCACTTAGAAGGTCTTTATTCATATTTAATTACTAGCTCGCTGCAGCTCCTATCTTTAATTACCTTTTAAAAAGCAGGTTACAAAAATGCACTGACATTCTTTCTTTTTTGCTGCTGCCTAAATTACAGGCTTCTCAGCTGCTCATCTGAAGTCAAGTCCAGCCTTCAGGAAGGGTGGGACAGGTTCCTTTTGTTGACTTCTGGATACCTCAGAGCTTGTCTTGCACCTTTCTCTACAGAGCAAAAGAGAAACCCTCAATTAGCATTGCATGAACTAGCTCCTTGCCTGAAGCCACATAACCATGTTGGTGCTCTCTCTGAGCTAAATAACTGTGTGAGGTGGCCTGACGGGTCAGCCAGAGAGGTACCACACTACTGTAGTAAGAGTGTTTCTGGAGCCTGAGCTGCCAACTGCTGCGCTGGGAGTCTCTGGCAGGATGCTGTATTATGCAGGCTAGACCCTCACCCATTGCCTCGCCCATATCTGTCTCGGTTTTTGCTTCCTGGGCATCCTCCTGGTAAACCCACTTCTTCATCTGCAACTTTCCTTACAGTGTAGTCCTGAGTTTCACAGCCAGAGCTGCTAATAATTTCCTCTCCTGCCCACACAGTGTTTTGCTGTCCGCACTTCATGCTTTTTCTGAGCTGAGAGCACTGGTTACTTTTATTGGAGCTGTGAAAAAGCCCATCATATAAAACATGTTTTCAGACCACGCCATCAGATGTGCAAACTGCAATTTTTGTCCCCCTGCCTTGAATCCAGCCCTTGCCACTGCTTCCATTCATGTACTGGCTTTCGCCAGGTCAGCTAGCTGACTGTAATGCATGGCAATACGCACCATCGGATTTCAGCGGGCAACGGTGGATGGTATTAAATATCTGCAAAGGAAATAAGCGCAAAGGGCCAGCTGTTGGCTTCTGCACCCAGCAGCAACCAGGGTTGCGGACCATAATCACTCAAATGCATTTTCAGGACAGCTTGGAGGGGTCCATCACATGCTGCGTGGATACTCCATGTCCTAGATGAAATGTGCTGCTGGGGCTCTGCTGCAGGTTTCCATAAGCAGAGTATCTCCATGGCACTTTCGTGCTTGGTGGGCTTCACTGGGAGGCCAAGCAGTGACAAGGCTCAGTCAGGGACGGAGGAAGGATGAAAGGGCTGAGCCCGCACAGCTTTAGCACATGCTGTCTCTGGCCTGTGGGCAGGACTTTCCTTTGGATAGTCTCTGGCACCCCAGGTTAATGCTTCTTTCTCTTGTCCCGGCAGATAGAAGAACTCTTCGTGAGTTTTGAGGATACGCCCTTGGGAGCAGCTTCACTGGCCCAGGTGCACAAGGCAGTGCTGCAGGATGGAAGAACGGTGGCAGTGAAAATCCAGCACCCAAAGGTCCAGTCTCAGAGCTCCAAGGATATTTTGCTCATGGAGGTAAAACTACCTGTTGACTTTGACTTACAGAGCAATTGCCATTTAAACGTGTGGGGGCCATGTTCACCCATGGTGTAAGCAGATATAACACCACCATCCTATAGATTTGAAACTTCCACAGAGGTAAATGCTGTCTGATGGGAATAATACAGAAAGTTGGTGAGGATTGCAGTGTGGATGATTGTGTAGATGGGGAAACTGAACAAGAGGATAAAAGAGGAGAGCAGGAAGAGAAGACTGGTGAACATCAGTGACATCAGAATAAGCCTATATGAGATTTAAGAACTAGAGAATGAGTCCTGAAGTCTCTCTTCAGTCTGTGTGCCCATTAACTGGTTAATTGAGGGAAGAGATGCCGTCCGTAGGGACCTTGATGGGCTTGAGAAATGGGCCAGTGAAAACTAGCTTCAACAAGTCAAAATGCAAGGTCCTGCACCTGGGCCGTGCTAATCCCAGGCACAAATACAAACTGGGCACAGAGTGGCTTGAACGTAGCCCTGAAGAGAAGGATTTAGGGGTGTTGATAGATGAGAAGCTCAACATGAGCCAGCAGTGCGCTCGTGCAGCCCAGAAGGCCAACCGCAACCTGGGATGTATCAAGAGAAGCGTAGCCAGCAGGTGAAGAGAGGTGATTCTCCCCCTTTACTCTGCTCTTCTGAGACCCCACCTCGAATAATGCATTCAGGTCTGGTGTCCCCACCGTAAGAGGGACATAGATCTGTTGGACCGTGTTCAGAGGAGGGCCACAAAGATGATCCAAGGGCTGGAGCACCTCTGCTATGAGGACAGGCTGCGGGAGCGGAGACTGTTCAGTCCTGAAAAGAGAAGACTTCGGGGGGACCTAATAGCTGCCTTCCAATACCTGAAGGGAACCTACAGGAAGGCTGGGGAGGGACTTTGTACAAGAGTGTCCACTGATAGGACAAGGGGAAATGGGTGTAAGTTGAAGGAGAATAGATTTAGATTAGAGCTTAGGAAGAAATTCTTCAGTATGAGCGTGGCAAAACTTTGGAACAAATTGCCCAGAGATGTTGTGTCTGCTCCCTCCCTGGATGTGTTCAAGGCCAAGTTGGACAGAGCCTTGAGTAGCCTGATCTAGTTGAGAGGCGTCCCTGCCCATGACAGGGAGGTTGGATTAGATGATCTCTGAGGTCCCTTCCAGCCTAGGCCATTCTATGATTCTGTGATTCTATGAATTAAACTGTTCTCAGTTCCACTTGCAGTCAGGGCTGTGTGGCAAAGGGCAAATCATTCTCCATGATCAGCCTGGTTTTGTCAGTTACATTCCAATGTGGATTCAACAGTGGCTGAGGTGGCTGTGATTCTTTGTTTCTTGTTCAGAAACTTAATTCTGACCTGATTCATGCTGCAAACAAAAATACTGAAATATAGAGAGGGTCACCTAACAGGGCCAGACACAAAACTGAGGGATTCAGCTAGGAAAAAATTTCCAAAGCCTGTTTCTTGTTTGTCTCCTAAACAGCGACTACTACTCATGTTTCCAGTGCAATCCTGTAGTTTCTCCCAAGCTTCTAAGCCAACCCTTTGAAGGGAGAAACTGGAGAAAACCTGTGGCACTGCCCTGCATGGTAATAGGCAAAGATGCCAGGGATATGATAGGGAACAGGATGTGGGGATGGGGCTCAGGCAGAGGAGAGGGGAAGAGTTCGGTCTGTAAATGGTAACACTAAAGCTTTTAGCTCTCCTAATATGCATATGTCTGTATGTATGGTACAGTAATTTGCACGTCAGTTGGCAGACAGGTATGTCCATGGGACTAGAGAGGGAAAGATTAAGCTGAGGGGTTCCGATAAGTGTCTAGAGGGTACTGCTGATGCAGTGACATGCAGTTCTCCATCACAGGAGGTCAGGAATTAAAAGATCCTGCCAAGACCCTCTCAGAGGAACACATAACTAAGGGTTCTTTAGCCAGCTAAACCACCATGCTTTGAGAAATCGTGGCTAGTCTGCAAAGGACAACTGTGGGTTCCAGCTGGAGCACATCAGTTTCTAGCTGAATATTTATTTTGAGCTTGTAGTAAAAGAATTTTTTTTGCTCAGTACAGATAGCCCAGTAGGATGGGATGTGTCTGTTTCAGTGCAGAGAACTGATTTAACTGGCTTTGGGTCCAGCTGTAGATCTGTATTTGATTCGGGTCCTGTCTAGGACTAACTGCAGTGGTCTGCCCGAGGAATTTGCTTTTCTGAGTCATCATATGCGCAGCAGTTCTCAGGGGACTTATGGCATCCTTCACTCCTGCCCAGGACAGAATGGCAGGAACTGAGCAGTCAAGGAAGAAGGATGAGCAGGTGATGAAAGACTATGAGACCGGGGCAATAAGATGATTGTATATGAGTGAGCTGAGACCTAGATCCTCCTTGGGACATTTCCCCTTTTAACAGTAGAACAGAATCATAAAATCGTAGAATCATTAACATAGGATAAGACCTCTAACTAAGATCATCAGTCCAACTGTCAACCCAACACTACTGTGACCACTAAACGATGTCCTAAAGTGCCACATCTACACATTTTTGAGCACCTCCAAGGATGATAACTGCCACTTCCCTGGGCAGCCTGTTCCAATGCTTCACCACTCTTTCAGTAATTATTTTATTTTTCTTAATATCCAATCATAGAATCATAGAACAATTCAGGTTGGAAAAGACCCTTGGGATCATCAAGTCCAACCATTGACCCTACACTACAAGTTCACCCCTAAACCATATCACCCAACACCACATCTAAGCGACACTTAAACACATCCAGGGATGGCGACTCAACCACCTCCCTAGGCAGTCAAAATCTCCCCTGGTGCAACTTGAGCCCATTTCCTCTCATCCTGTTGCTATTAACTTTGGGAGAAGAGACCAACACCCACCTCACTACAACCTACTTTTAGGTACCAGTAGAGAGTAATAAGGTCTCCCCTTAGCCTTCTCAATCCCAATTCTCTCAGCCGCTTCTCTGAAGATGTGTTCTCTAGGCCCCTCACCAGCTTTGTTGCCCTTTCCTGGACCCACTCCAGTGCCTGAATATCTGTCTTGTACGGTGGCACCCAAAAAGGTAGGTATCACAGAAAAAAATGCCCTCTCACACTATGTTGCTGTGATTGCTGGCTGTACTGGTAAGAGACATTTAAACAAATCTTTTTCGACTGCTTCCTGTCTTTTCTGATTTTAGACCTATCCTTCTGGGAAACTTGAAACTAGAGCAGTGTATTTCCTTTTGGCAATATAGTATTGTCCTTCCTCTACAGACAGTCTAGTTTGGTGTCCTTGAGATCTGTTGTGTACACACAGCTATGGGAAAATATCTCACAACATGACACACACAGTCTTGTTCTGAGTCTCTTGTGGAGCGTTGGTTTATGTGCATCGTCATAGCCTTGCATGGGTCTATTTTTGTGTAGGCTGCACTAAAAGCCAGATTATGTGCTCTGAAATTCTGGTCCTTAAGAATCAGACAGACGTTGCAGCTGGGTAAGAGGTTGATTTAGATATTGATGGAGATTGTCTTATTTAGAGACTGATGGCAAGGAGTCTGAATGGGAAAAGGTAGCTGGAAAATTCCTGAATTCACCTGAGGTTTTGTAGCATCAGTGTCAACTCTTTAAAAATCAGCACACTATCGATATATCCAGAGAGAGATACCTCACTATTGTTCTTGTATCAATACTTATTTCAAGACAATTTGTTAGACAGATGTCAGAAAAGGTCCAGGCCCAATACCTGCTAAGCATGTTCCTGCTGTTGGTTTAGCTAACAAATCAATTCAGAAGAGCTTTTAAAGAAAGCAAAAAACAATGTATGAATTTTCTCACATCAGGCACCAACGTTATAATCCTGCAGCCCCTGTAAAGTTAATGTACACATTCACGAAGATAGCTGGTTACATTTCATCCAGGTGACATAGATTTGAAAGGATTTATGCCTCTAGATATAACGGTAGAAAAATCATTCAGTAGTGTCTGGAACCTGGTGATTACATTTTTAAAGGAACATGGAGTTTGGAACTTCTATTTAGATAAGAGAAGTAGAAACAGGGTAGAGAACAAACATTTTCACACAGCTGAACAGGAGCAGTGATATTTCATAAATTTATTTGTTGTCATATATTTTAATGATAGCAGCTTTCTGTGTGTGTTTTGAATGTTCCTCCTGCAATGCAGGAATTCCCAATTGACAGTGGAGATCTAGAAAGGGAAACTGTCCAGGAACACACACTGACAAGTCGGTTTTCATTTTCAGATGGATGTACAGAGCAAGTAAGGTAAAGACAGAAAAGTGGATTGCATTTTCACATTTTATTCTTGGTTTATGACTCAAGTAGTTAAAAAAATCCAAACAAATTATTTTCCTTAACTTATGGTCCAAATTGTCAGCTTGTGTAAATTCGTGACGCTAGTTGAGAAACTGGCCCCTCATTTGAACAGAAAGCATTCTTGGCTGCTGTGCAGTTTTGATTATGCCATCCGATTGCATGATCTTGATTTTCTTCAAGAAGGACACCTATCATTCACTCCTTAAATGTTGTTTTAGGCCGAAGTTTCCAGGAACCATTTGGCTGGACTTTTCAAGGCCCTGTGCAGCTGAATCCCTAATTTCTTTAAGAAGAAGAGAATGCCAGGTAGTGGATATTTAGAAAACACCACCTCGGCATTGCTAAGGATGGCTGTGACTGACACTGAGGAACAACTTGGCCTCTGACCACTGCCACAAGTGTCCTTTGAAGATCTGTATCCAAACTCCACTGTCTGCTCTGAACTGCCCAATGGATTTTCTGTGACAGCAAAATTTTTGCCCAGCAGTAGAAGAAGTAACATAGAAGCAGTAGAAGAAGTAACATAGAAGCAGTAGAAGAAGTAACATAGAGGTGACAAGTTGTGCTTTAGCTCTTCCTATTTGCCATTATCTGAGGGCTGTTCAAATGAAACCAAACAGTGGCCTGCAGAATCATGGGACTCGGAAGAAAGTTGCTCCTGAGCCATGCCCTTGGTGAGATCTGGCCCTGTGGTCTCCTGTCCAGGGCTTTCTTCTCTTACTTCTAGGCAGCTGGTCTCCCTTTGGTGTCTGTGCCATCATTTAACTCCTAGATGCACTTGTGTGGAAGGGCAAGCCAAAATGTGTGTTGCACGACCAAGCCATGACATGATGTGTTGTGTTATGATACTCCAGGGACCCTACAAGCACTTGGCGTGCCAGCTGATTTTTGGTTTTTTTTGACTGTAACTTACATGGAATGTTCCCATCAAAACAACACTGGGTATAATAGCTGCATGATTTTGGAGCTAGGGTGCAGCTGATTGTTTCCTTGTTCTCAGGTTCTCCTCTTAGTTGTGAAGCAGATCTTTCCAGATTTTGAGTTCATGTGGCTGGTGGAAGAAGCTAAGAAGAATCTCCCCTTGGAGTTGGATTTCCTCAATGAAGGCAGAAATGCTGAAAAGGTTGCTCATATGCTCAAGAACTTTGACTTCCTGAAGGTGAGGGAACATGTATTTCTCTGTATGTTTGTGCGTTAATAGTCTCAATTCATGCGTCTTGTGCACCTCATTAACCTCCTGGAGGAACCATACAGAGGGAGAATGGAGTTCAGCCCTCTGTGTTGTTCATCCTAGACTGCTTTGCTGATACAGACCAGAAACTTCTCTGAGACATGTTTCTTCCTTCTCTGTTTCCTATAGGCACTGTTTGTTGAATGGGTGGTGGCCTGGAGCCAGCAATCTCTGGAGCCTGCTACTTATTTTCCCAAATGCTCTTTCTGAACTTGTCACAGGCAGAGACTTGTGAATTTGCCATTCTTTAATGAGCCATCTGATGGTACCTTTTCCTGGGCTTTATCTCAGCTGAGGGCAAGAAATGAACATAAAACAGAAAAGCTAGATGGAAGCTGATGATGTCAAGTAGGATTTGGGGACACTATCTCAGGAGGAAGCATGCTCATATAAATCCTTCCTCTTTCAAAAAAGCATATTCTTACTCTGGAATTGAACATACATCTTTCATACACATCCAGTGTTACACATCATGTTACCTTCGTACACAAATTCAACTACACACATATTGTGCTCTTCCCCAGTGACACTCTTACCCCACCTCCCCTGCTACACGCTGACTAAGGTCACTGACAAATGTCTCAAGTCCAACCAGACATGGACGCATCTTATTCTTGGCAAGACATAATAAGCTCACATCTTCAAACTCGCACGTGCACAAATCTTTTGCTGATATACATGAGGCACAAGCCTCCCCTGTCTGCATTCTGGAGCTACACAAGTATGGTCAAGCACAGATAATGCTGTGGGCGCAGACGCTGACAGAACTGCATTTGCACATACACAGAGGCAACAAAAAATGCGTGCTTCTTTGGACTCTCCTGCATACAAAATGAGGTTTTCACCTCCTATTTATGCAGGAGTATCAAGATGGAAGTGGCAGATATCTGAAATGAGGTGAGTTTTTCTTAGACTTTACAGGCCGATGCATCAATTTTTAACTTGCTTCCTCCATGCGAGGGATATAATTCTTTGTCACCTGACTCCAGGCTTGGGGCAGTCGTTTTGGAGTCGAGTGGCAGCACTGGCCTTACTGTAGACACACATAGCTAAAAGCCACCAAGCTAGAGAAGGCCAAAGGCCAATAATTTTGCTGAGTGGGTGCTTATCAGAAGTGATGCACCTTGGATAACTCTATCTGTTGCAGCTGTAACTTGGATACTGTGAAGTAAATCCCCATGGAGATGGCCAATCACCTTCTTGCTGGGTTAAGGAGTTATCATGGTATCAATATGTGTAATGATAACAAATGACTTGAGATGGTTAAATAATGGGTCCTCACATCTGACTTGGCAATTCAGAGACATGTTCATCACCCACAGGCAACGGAAGAATTGGGCTCTCATATCACTAATTTTCCTAAACATGCTAAAAAGCTGAGAAGTATATTTTGTGCTGTGAACCTCTTTGAGCTTTTAAAACCAGAGATAAGTTGTTGCACTAGCATTGCAGCCAAACATCTGTGAGTTTTTAAAAAAATCGCTGAAGAATTTAGCTGTGAGAGATGCATCTCCAAGAATGTGGCTACTGCTTTATAAGCCCACTCTAAATCTTGAGGCAGGAATGGATGTCATCTGAAATGATCTAGGGCAGCAGAGATCAGTGGGCTAGATGGGCTGAGGAACAGTTAGTTTTGGAGTTGGTTTGCTTTCTCAGCAATCTAACTGTAGAGAATGGGCATCCAGATAAGCAGGGAGGATTGCAAGTAACTGAATCACCCTTGCCCACAGTGGATCTCTGGCATCAAAGTCTATGCAAGGTTAACATGCAAAGTATGCCCGAAGTGTTGAATGGTGGGACTGAGGGATGTTGGAATTGTTCAGCAAGGAAGTCTGACCTAAAACAGCACACACATAGTGAGGTAGAAGTGGGTCACACTGATAAAATGGTCTCTCTAGAGAGGAACAGTGGAGCAGACAGACAGTTTGTGAGGGATCAAGACGCTGTCAGTAGTTACAAGCAGAATATAAAACAAATTCAGGAGTTAGAATGAGCTACAGTGGCCTTCGTGGTTCCCCTGGATTTTGTTGCATGATGTAGACAACACCTCTTGCTTCTTCCTGTCTTGCCCGAAGGTGCTGGACCCTTGCTGTGTGCAAGTCCTGAGTCTGTGGCCAAGTGAGACAGGTGAGGAGAAGGGGGCTGCACAGCTGGGTCTCTCTGTACAGGATCCCAAGTGTGCACCTCGGCACTGGGACACAGTAATAGGAATGGGTGAAGCTCCCTTATATTTTTCATAAAACGTACCTGTGTGGCTTCACCTATGTGCCAAGGCAAACCCAGACAGCGTGGGAGATTGGTCAGCACAGTGATGTGAGGAACATCCAAAGGGAACTCCTGGCACTAGGGACTTCAGCATGGAAAGAATTTAGCTGGAGAGAGAGGCTGGAAAAGAGGGAGCCGTCCTGAACGACACCTGCATCACTGCCTCCCTAGGTGATACCAGGCCTCTTACTGGTACCAGACTCAGCCTGATTTACTGCAGATTGAATGAAAAGTGCTTTGACGTTTTACACTTGTTACTGTGTCACGTTGGCAATAGGATAGTTAAGGGTCTCCCAGGGATTCTATGACAAGCCCCTTATTTGTGACACATGATTTTTCTCCTGGTTCAGTTGCAGATGGCCTTAGTATGCAGAGTTTGTCAGCTCAGAGGCATTTGTGTTCCAAGGGGTGCTGCAGAGATGCAATTTATGATGATGACTTACATTTTTAAAGCTGCATAAGTGGGCCCTGTGCATAGTAAACGAGATGCAGTTCCTGTCTAAAGGACCTGAGTGCATGATTCAGGGACTTGCAATAGGTACTAGCTAATCAGCCCAGCCAGAGCAGATAAGAAAACCTTCAGATATCAGTGGGAGTGGGAGGTGGTCAAAATCTTGTAGAGCATAGCCAGAAATCTTGCTGGAGGACAGATCCTGCTGCCATTGAATTGGCGTATTGCCCTTGCATGCATTGCTGCTGTCCTGGGGAAGAGGCTACTAGATTTACCTCCCTTGTGCTCAGGAAAAAAGCAAGTCCTCACTTCTGTCTCTTCCATTTTTACTCCTTTTCTGGGTTGTGTGTGACATATTCTCCTTGCTTTCCCAGCCTATTGTTTGACCTAACCCACCTGTTCCTGTTTCAGGTCCCCAGGATCTACTGGGAGCTCTCATCAAAACGCGTTCTGCTCATGGAGTTTATGGAAGGGGGACAAGTGAACGACAGGGCCTACATGGAGAGGAATGGCATCAATGTCAATGAGGTAGTTCCTCAGCCATCGGAATTGGGTGTCGTGGGCGATGCAGAAGTGATGTTGCCATCAGCTGATGCTGGTGCAAAATGGAGTGTGACAAGACAGGAGGGGACAGGAAAGGAAGCACGTATGGATGTGAACAGAGCGATCAACGTGAAAGATCTCAATTTTTGTGTTTCTGGGAAAAGTATGTAACCCCTTTTGGAGAACAGTGTCCTGTAGGCTGCATAGCTAGAAAGATCTTCAAGGAGATGAATGATGAAAGATGACCATGCTATCGTATTACATATGGCCGTGGTTGGTTCCAAGATGGCAATTCCTGTTATCCTAAAGGAGCAACTTCAGCTTCTGATTCTTTTTGTCTCCCTTTTTTGCCTTGTTTTTCTTCTGCATTAGTGTTCTCCTGGACAAATGCATGGGATGTAGCTTTTATATCCTGGCAGCTATCACCTTATACAGGAGATTCAAGTCTTATTATGATCGCGGTTAATAGAGTGTTGCAGCCTTAGCCTTGGTGCTTTGCCTAATATTCTGACATAAGTTGTTTTCTTCTGGATGCAACATTTTTTTTCTTTGCTTCCTGGTCCTGCATTACTGTGTACTTCTACAATCCTTCATTAAACAGTTAGCAGATTTCATCCCTGCAGAGAGGCTACATTTCCCTGACAAGTCAAATAGTTTGTATGTGTAGCATGAAGCTGGCAGACACTTTGGATTTTCTGTAACTTGAAAGATTCTTTTATTCGAGAAGGTAATACTTCCCAGAAGGGCTGAGAATGTGCGAGGGAAAGGGTTTTGAGCCTTTGGACAGTGCGTCAAGCCACCCCTCCCAGCCAGTGAGTGCTGACTGAGGCACTGCTGCTTGCCTTTTCCCTTGTGCCCTATCCATGAGCCTCAAAGCTGCATTTGGTTGACTGGCTATCAAAGAGCTACGGCATAAAATCAATTGCACTTAATCTATCTGTCCACTTACTTCTGAAATCTGAATGCTGCTTCTTTCTCTGCTCTTCCTCCTCTCTGTTCCCTTTCTGTGGCAGAATTCACATGGCATCAGTTAGAGACATGCCAAAGACCTCTAAAGGTAGGGAAAATGCAAATTTGGTATGCCCTACAAGGAGAGAGCATGAATTGTATCTTCTCAGCTCCTGTCCTAAGACAGCATGCAGCTCCTTCTCTGCCGAGACAGCAAAGAAAGACAGGAAGAATTTGGAGCATTTGGGTCACTGGTTTTTCTCGTCTCTTTCTTCAGGGCATCACAGGGGTCATTATCAGCTGATCAGAGGTAAACAGTTCTTCCTCTGTGTCTGTTCTGTGCTGATGATCTTTCTTTGTATTTACCAAGGTAAGTACCTCAGTGATGCATCTGGTCTGCAAAGAGCACCATAATGTGACTCAAGAACATGGTAGCTCATGGATTTTGATATTGAGAGATTTTAAAAGCCTTGTCTATGGCAGAACATGCAGTCAGCTCCATTCACCCGGACAAGTCAACTGGTCAAAAGCCAAAGAGTTGTTTCTTTGAGTGAGTTTATCCTGTCCTTCTGCTATGAAGACAGAGGTCAAATCTTGCCCACAGTGCTCATGTGCAACAGTGAGTATTTCTCAAGTCTTGAAATAGTCAGAAAGGCTTGTTTTGATGCATCAGCAGGAGGACTCTTGAGCAATACGTACATTCAGAATTTGAGCTGGGCTTTCTCACACTTCTTGGACAGCAGATCCATTCTGAGATCGAGGTAGCTAGCACAGCGTAACTCCCTGGGACTTTGGTTGCTTCTTTGAGTTTTCTCAAACTGTTGGAGATAACAAAGTTTTCTGGAGGAGCCTAGGGAAAAACATTATTTGAAATCCTCCATAGCTTTCTCCAGCCAGTCAGTGTGAAAAATTCAACAACTTCAGCCTTTCGGTGGGCTATTTTGCTGACAGTATGTGCCAAAATAAAGTAGAGAAGCAGATAACTTCGGTTTGTCTAACTTGCAGAGGCTTTTGCTTATGATATGAGAGATTTAGGGTGAAAATTCAGCTCTTTTTTTTTCTTTTCATCTGTGCCTTTGGGAAAGTTGTTTTGTGGTGTCTTGGCAAATAGTTTCCATGCAGCAATGGAACCATGTATTGCTGATTCTGAGCTGGTCTCTAAACGATGGCTGAGATGTAGTTTTAAAAACGTTGTCAACAGACTTCTGCTACAGCAAACTCTAAGCCTCAGAGGTTTCTGGCAATCTGTCAGGTATAGGATGTTACTCAGCTCAGTGATACAACTGTGGTTCTTCAAATGCTCTCACTGCCTGCGCTGAGCTGTTCTTCCTTTTCTCTCTGCACCCCCTGAAATTAATGATTAACTTTTACTGATTGCCAATAAAGCAACAGGAGAAAGAAGGGAATAGTGAGCCTGCCAGAATCACGGGATGGGGAATGAGATCTTTTATCGTGACCACAGTAAGATGAGGTAGGAGCAGTGCACAGCCCAGACTTCTCCTCTGGCAAGGTGTAGCAGATGGGGACAGATATCACCAAGGTCCATTATCAGCTGCTGCTGTTGATGCCCTGGGTAAAAAACTGCATGGCATGGTGGTGAAGTGATCTAAAGGTAGCAGACACTGAAAGGAATGTGAGGAGGGGGTGGCAATCCAGATTTTGAAACTGTAACATGGCTTATAATGTGTAGCAGTTCTGGCTTTCAAGAGATGCATTAGCTCCATATAAATCATCTCAATCTATTTGATTATCAACCCCTCTCTATCATCTTATTCCATTTCGTTTTCCTGGGCGGAGGAAGAGGAGTCTTCGCTAAGCAGGATTTCTCTTGTATGACAATGCAGCCTGGAAAAGCAAGCTGAGCCTCTCTCCTCTAAATGGAAAGGATCCCTGAGGTGAAAGCTCCCTTCAAACCAGGTTACTGACATTTACTTAATACCGTCTGTAGCAGGATTATCATTAAAGCTGCCCAAAAGCACATTAATCTCTCTGGATCCGTCCAAGTGCTGGATTGTAATGGCATTTAATCAGAGAAGGCTTTGATTTCTAAAGACAAGTGCAAACACTGAAATATCTGCCTATAGAACAGTTACTTATTCATGTGCAAGTGTAGCTGAGGATGAGCATGCAGCTAGGATATTGACAGTGGGAGTGAAGGCTGGAGAGGGGAGTTATCAAGAAATGAGCTGGCATGAATTTTGAAGAAGACCAGGCCACGGCAGGGTTAAGAAGGGGGCACACCTTCCAGTTTCAAGACACAAGAGCATTTACAGTCTTGGTTTGGAAGAAGTGGATAGAGCAGGGAAGGGAGGAAAGACAGACTGAGGGGCTCTCAAGATATTTGTAGCATACTGTATGAGGGAGGGAAGGATAGCAAGGCTACTTAGAGCGTGGACTTTTAAAGAAGATCCCAAATGGCACAAATGCTCCTTTTGCACCTGATTGATTTTGCCTGATTCATTTAGAGAAACATTTTACAAATCTTAACATGTTATCTCTGATGCACTGCGTGGATCCTCCCTGTCACTGCAGAAGCTGCTGACCAGCAGGCTGTGGGAGCTGTGGAGCTCACTGATGCACTCGTGGCATGTCCTGTATTGCCTCCAGCTAACCAGCCAGCTCAGGTAGCCAAGTGGAGAGTCCCCCGTGATTGCCCTCTTTTGGGCTTGAGTCAGGGAAGGGAAGTGATGCCACATACTTCAGCTTACTAAGAGCCTAGTCATGAGCCACGGATGATTCAGAAGTCAGGAAAGTGTTTTGTCCAGCTGAGAAGTGAAAGCAAACAGCTATGGTACTTAAGATGAGCTATTGTGCACAATTATTGCCATCTGTCACCCCATCCGACTGTGGCCTTTTACTTCCTTCTGTTACTAAATGGGTTCTGCACTGGAACGGTATCTCTTAGCTCGATAAGGAGCCCTGCTACCTTCTTATGGTTGACAGCTTTGCAACTTGAAATATGCTTTCAGTGTGGGATTTACCCTTCTGCCAAGAGTCTGGAGCCGCTGCCTTGTATTTGCTAGAATTTAAGTGGGATTTCCCAGGGTGGGATCCTTTGTTAGCTCAAGTGTGGAAACCTCTCATGTCTCAAGTACTTGTGCTTGTAACACTCAAGTGTTAGATGAAATGGAGCATGGAGAGGAACACTGTTTCTGGAAAAAATGACTATTCTTGCTCTTTATACCTTCTGATTTAGTCTGGAAAGAGGTTTCCTTGCAGATTCTCCTGCATTTCCTCTTGCCTGAAGCTTAATAAAAATTCACAAGGCATTAGTAAACAATAATAGTGACTTCCGGCATTTCTAGCTTCTGAACTGTGCAGAGACACCAGGCGAAAGAGTTAAATTACACACAAACCTCTTACTGAAAGTCAATCTTGAGCATCAGTGTCAACCAACTGCTTAAGTTTCAGCAAGATGTTTTACATTAAATCCAAGGAAATATGACTACGTTTAAAGACAAGAGAAGACCATCCCCATGGCCATTTCGGGTCTAACATAGATGCAAGAAACAATTAAATAAGCAATGACTGGTCTTGTCTACCTGTGTTCTTTTGAAAGTCTGTAGAAACTTATCAGGTTAGTCCCTCAGTTCTCTGGGTGGATGAGTCAGAATATTTCTTCCCACTTAAATGCCATGGGAAATGGGGCACTGAGCAGAAGAATAATTTTCTCACTCCCCAACAGAAAGTATGGAACATGCTAGGACTACACTCCTGGAGTCCTAAAAAACTACTCCTGTATCTCAATGACATCATATGTGTCCAGACACTGCCTTGCTGTGATGCTAGATCAGTGCCTAGTGATAGAACTGCAGTAGAGAGCACTATGTTTAGATCCTTGCAAGTGGATCACAGAGGGCAGAGTGTGAAATTGGATCTCTTGCGTGTGACTGTCCTAATCTGCTATGGACAAGAGCCACTTCAGAACAGAGACACAGAGCAGGCTACAAATTGTGACTATTGTCCATCCACACCCTCTGCTAATTTGACACGGGTTTAATTGGGCAGGATTGCCCTAGCAGGATTAAGCAAACTCT